ATGGGCAGCCTGGGCCGCTCGGGCCCCCCCGGGAACGGCGGGCCCGGCGAGGGCGAGGGCGGGGACGCGAGGAAACTTCAAGATGGGAGGGTCCCGAGGGGAAAGCGAAAGAATGGGAAGTGGAAAAGGAAAGCGGGCGCAGGGCAAGGCGGAAGAGGAAGCGGGACGGAAGGGAAACCGGGGTCGCAGAAGGCGAAGGAGGCAGCGGGGCCGGGGGCTGAGGCGGGAGCGAGGGCAGGCCCAGGGGAGGAAGGAGAGGGAGGCGGAAGCGTGGACGAAGGGGCGAGAGGCATTGTAAAGGGAGCTAAGGGGAGCGCGGGGGCCGAGAAGGAGGCACAAGGAGGAGATGGTGGGAAGGAGGAGGAATGGAGGGTCAGGACTGGGCGGCGGGAGGACGCCAAGCCAGGGAGGGCACAGGGACGAAGGGCTCAGGCTTGGGGCGGCATCGCCGGTACAGGGGCAGCCATGGAGGCGGCGGTGGCTGAGGAAGAGGCGGCCGCCCGGCCGGCTGCGGGGCCTGCGCTTTGGCGCCTGCCGGAGGAGCTGCTGCTGCTCATCTGCTCCTACCTGGACATGCGGGCCCTCGGCCGCCTGGCCCAGGTGTGCCGCTGGCTGCGGCGCTTCACCAGCTGCGACCTGCTCTGGCGCCGGATTGCCCGGGCCTCGCTCAACTCCGGCTTCACGCGGCTCGGCACCGACCTGTAAGCGCCCGCTCGCCCGCCCGCTCCCCGCCCCTGACCGGCCTGCATCCTGGGAAAGGGCGGGGCGCCGCGGCCTGGCCGGTCCTGGGCTGTGTCGCACCCCGAATTCCGAGGCCCAGACCTGGCCTCCGCCGAGACCCTTGCCCGAGCACCCTCGGGGGTCCCAGTGCCTTTCCTTTCTAAGGCCCCCATCTGAGGAAGCTTCCCGAGAGCATCGCTCTGTCAGCACCCTCCCCCGTTGGTGGCTCCTCACAATTAGCCATCTTAAGCACTCCCTTCAGCTTTTAATTGTGCCTTTTCACAGACCTTTGACTGCCCGGGTTCCTTCATGCTGTGGATGACTGCTCCAGTCCAGGTCTAAGACACAGGTCCACTAAGGGGTCTATCAGAACGTTTTTGTGGACATTCAGCCTTCCCACCCTCTTCTAAAGGTTGTTAGGCTTCAGGGCTCAAATAAAATCGAATGTGGTGAAAAGGGCTCAGATCCCCAAATAAGGCCCTTGGTCCCAGTGTCGGTCATAGTCTATTACTTGATAGAGGCACGAAAAAGGGTGCCGCTTGAGGCAGGAGGCTGGATTAGGTCTAGGTTGTGTACAAGACACGGTATTGCAATTTGGCCTGTTTTTATATGGTCTGAAACGTGTGAATAAAGAACTTTCCTGAACCACTTAAACTGTTAAATAGGAAGGAAAAAATTGTATGGAATTGGGGGAGTAAAAGCTTTCAGATTACACCCTAGTCCATCCAGTTGTTTTTATTAGAAGGTAGTTTATTTATTTTTATTTTTTATTTTTTATTTTTTATTTTTTTACCTGTAAGGGGATCGCAGCCCTAGGCATGATGTGGTCCGCACCATCCTCAGCCCATCCCTATGTAGGATCCGAACCCGCGGCCTCGGCGCTGCACTTTCTCGAGTGAGCCACGGGGCCGGCCCTAAAAGGTAGTTCTAATACAGTATAACAACATTAAAGAAAGTTTTTTTTAAGACAAAGAGCCATGATACCATCACCTCTAGACAACTATTTTCATTTTTAAAAATTTTCAGTTGCACACTTTCCCTTACCTCATAGTTGCTGTCCTAATTGGTCCTAACAGAATAGGTGCATAATAAATGTTTGGGGGGCTATACCATAATGAGATTGTAAAAAATCCCTTAATATTAAACATGTTGTGTTCAGTTTTTTGCTGTTACAACAATTAAATGAATAATGCATTTTTGGGTAACAGCTTTATTGAGATATGTCACATACCATACCATACACATGTCTTTTTGAATTCCTTAGGATAAAATTTTAGGATGAGCATTACTGGGTCAAGGTAATGGTTTACAAAGGTGTTATACCAAGTTAAAGTGGCACCAACAAAGAGTGATTGAACCAATATCTTGTAAGAATTTTAAAAATCTTTGCTAGTTTAGTATAATCTCACAGTTGTGTTATTTTACATCTCTTATTACTGGCCAGGATAAATATTTTCCCATTTGTTTGTTTCGCCTGTGAGATTGTTCGTACTCTGCCTTTTTATTATTGGTATTTTGATGTTTTTCTTATAAATTTTGAATCCTTGTGGGCCCTAGATGTTAGACTCTAGTCTGTCATCTTTGATACAAATATTTTTCCCAGTTAATTATTTTTACTTTACTGTTTTTATCCTATAGAAGTTTTACACTTCAATTTATTAGAATCTGCCAGTCTTTTGTGATTTTTTTTTCTCTTTTTTCCCCAAAGCTGAGAAATTTATAATTCCTCCACAGACTTGATAAGTCTTCTCTTCAGTTTTCTACTGATTTTCTTATAATTTGACTTATTAATAGTTAGCATTTTCTTCCATATCACTTTTGTTTTGGTACAAGACGTGAATTCAACTTACCATTTTTTTTTCCTAAATGGCTACCTAGTTATCACTACACCTTTTGTTAAATAATGCTTCTCTTTCCCTTTGTTTAGGAAAACTTACTTTGCCATATATTAAGTGTATATATATATATATATATATATATATACACACATATAGATGTATGTATGTATGGGATCTATATCTGAACTCTCCATTTGTTCTCTGGTATATTTTTCCATTTCCACACTATTTTAAATATTGTTGCTTTTTGGTAGTCTAATATCTTTTAGGGTTAGATTATCCTAGTTGGATTTATGTGTGTATGTCATGTCTTCACTTCTACTCAACTCCCCATCAAAAAAAATTCTGTGCCTTTTCAAGGATTTTTGTGGTTTTCACTATAAAGTTCTCACATATCTGTTGTTACACTTATTCCTATGTATTTTTAAATGTGTTATATGTTTTGTTTTTATTGCAAATGTAATCTCTTTTTCAGTATGTTTTCCAGCTGAGTATTATTGATGTTCAAGATTACTATAATCTTTTGTAAATTTTGAAGCTGATCATTTTGCTTAACTCTTTTTTATTCTAGTATGATTTTGTTGATGATAATGATTCCTAGAGATTCTCTGGATGTGCAGTCTTGTCACTTGCAAAAATAGCATTTTTTTTTTCTCTTCCTTTCCTATAAATAACTCTTTCAAAGAATATTATCAGTTAACCTATAAGAAAAGGTTAAAGTGACTAGAACCCAAGCCAGCCAAGGCAAAGTTGGGCTTTATGTCTGTCCTTATAGAGACTGAATGACCGAAAGAATTTGTTTATTTTTCTTTTCCAGTGCTCCAAAAGAGAGATAGTGGGAATCAGTCTACGTTCTATAGCAGTAATAACAACAAAATGAAAACTGTAGTGTAAAGTGCTTTGAGACTGCCAAATGATGTTATGGCTTTATTGTTTATTAGATACACGTGGTTTGATTTCTTTCCTTTGTCCTAGGGTGAGGTGACTCTGGCCTTCTAGGAAAGTTATTTCACCACAGCACTTCATAAAGAGAAGGGACACTGCTCAGGTTTTCTGGGTTGAGGGGAGAAGTTATGCATGTTACAGCAGGTGGAGAGAGTGTCTACCAGCGTAGTCTGTTTCTGGACAACTACAGAGACTTAATAAGCCACTAAGAAAGGTGATTGTCATCCCTGGAGGGAGAAGGCATGCACCCCAGTCCTCTGAGGGTGTCAGAGAGCCTGGGCCCAAACTACAGCAAGAATATGGCTGCTTGGATAGTGGCAGAGCTGTTGATCATGCTTTGGGCTAATTAACTGCAGACTAGATAAGTTTTTTTTTTTTTTTCTCGTGTCCGGCAACGGATCGCAACCCTCAGTGTCGCGCCCGTACCGGACCGGGACCGGCAACGGGATCACAACCCTCGGTGCTGCACCCGCACCTCGCTCAGCCAGTGAGCGGGAACCGGTCTGTATGTGGGATCTGAACCCTCGGCGGGAGCGCCACCATGCTCCCAAGCGGCGCACTGTAGCAGTGCGCCACCGGGCCGGCCCAGACTAGATAAGTTTTGATAAACACAATACAAAACTTGGTTTTATCAGAAGCTACATACCTCATTGGCCCTGAGTTGTATCATTTGTAAGGAATGGGAATAACATTGCCCACTAAAATGAGGCTTAAATGTACAGTGCTAGCTAGCACAATGTCAAGCACATAGTAGGCACTTAATAAGTTGTAAAATGGGACCTTTTAATTGCTTGGCTTCTCTTCTAGTCAGTCTGTATATGGTAAAAATGGGAATGGTTTGACTTGGAGGTGCTGCCTAAAGACAGGAGTGAGGAATCCTCTCTTTCCCTCTCTGCTGAGTTTCTCTCACCTGCTCTGAATGTTTTTGGAAACATTACAGCAGAACTAGGGGCTTAGGGCCTGTTCTCACTGCTGAAGAGCCTCTTGATTCTCAGAAACACAAACTGCTAAGGTTTACTGACCTTCCGGGCCCAGGGCAAGCCCTGTTCAGTCTGGCTGTTCCTAACTGATCATAGCTTTGTTGAGTAAGATGAACTGCTTTGGTTCCTTGTGATTTGTTAATGGTCTTATACTTGTGCTTGAAGGCATTTCGGCCACTTTAAAACCACAAACAAATAATTTGCTTCCCTTTAGGCCTCTTGCTCAAACAGTGAACACTAGTAGGTATCTTGAGCTTTTTTTTTTTAAAGGGGACGCAAAGATAGTTTGAGTCAGTCATCTGATTTAAACAGTTTTGTTTGAAGGCTTTAAGAAGCCTGGGGGGATAGAAATATCTTGAATATAATAGTAAAAATCAAGGAATTATTTCATATAGGAATCTTCCCTAGAGAGTAGGGGGAAAAACTAACCTAGTTCAGGCTATACAAGAACAAAACAGTGAAATTCAGCTGTCAGTTTTTAATGTATGCTGAATGACAAAGTAGAAAGTATAATGGGAAAGAAAAGTGGTGCTATCTTCAAATTCTGATACTGAAAATTAACAAGAGCAGCGAATAGAAAGAAAAAAGTATTCTGTGCATGTAAACCTATTTTTTAATATTTTTGTCAGTCATGTTAAAGAAAGCTTACTTGATTCCCTTCCTCCCAGATTAAGTGCTACATATTTTCAAACAGGAATTTTATTTTAAATATCCTTTAAGTGGTACCTGGGTGCTTTCTTGCATTTGCCTGTGATAGATTTGCCTGGAATTAACAATAGGTGTTTAGGGCGTGAGGCTCGAGGTGTTTGCCCTGGCCTGTACATTCATTCCTCTGGCAGGGTCCTGTAGCCTCAGAGCTCTTTGAGGCTGGGGGACTGGGATATCTATTTCAGTGATGATTAACATCCAGAGTGGTGAGATAGACACAGATAAGCAAAGTGTGTTTGTTTGTTTTAAAATGATTGTGCCTAAGAGCATTTTTTTGGCCCAGAAAGCATAGTTTCCTATCCTAACTCTGAATGGAGAAGGCATTGCTGACTGGTTACATTTAAGGCATAACCTGATTTTCAGAAAACATTTAGCAACTTAAAGTAGCATAGGCTTTCTCATTTACCTGTCTTACCTAGGGAGGAGAGTCACTTAACTTGTTCTCCAGTTCACTGAAAGGTTTCATATATGGATGTGCTTATTGTCTTCTGCCGTATTGTGGAAAGGCCTTAGTTTAATGATTTGTGTGAGTTAATGAGTTTAGTTTACATGTTCAATATAAATAAAGCAATACACCTGTAAAAACAGGAAATGGTCTAGTATGGTCATTACCTCCAAATGCAAACTGGAAGTATGGAAGAGGCCTTCTCTTCCAACACTGCGAGAATATAGAAGCTGCTTATATCCTTTCCAGTCTTGTAAACTTGAATGGTAAGGGATGAATCTCGTAACTTTAAAGCAGAAACATGGAGGAACCCAAGATCTTCACAGTCTGCATGATGAGAAACCTTCAATATGAATTCATACTGGAATGAGACCTCTGAAAATATATCAATACTCCCTACTTTCCATTTTCTGTGTCTAGAACCTTCATCTTAAGTAAAGATTGCACTTGAGCTGCTGTGCAGCTGACAGTGATGTTACCGAGGAAGCATACAGATTTTGACATAGAAAAGAGTCACCTTTGTGTGACAACTTAACCTTA